GAATTCAAAAAGAGGAAACGCAAATGGCTGAGAAACACTTGCAGAAATGCTCTACATCTTCAGTCATCAGCAAAATGCAAATCAAAATACTGTGAGATTTCATAATACCCCACTAAAAATATTCAAAATGAATAAAAAAATGACATCTCCTTCTGACCAGGATGTGGAGAAAGGTAACACTTAGCTACTACTGCTGGTGGTGCAAACGTGCACAGCCACTATAAAAATCAGTGTGGTAGTTCCTCAGGAAGCTGGAAACAGATCTACCTCAAGATCTAGCTATACCACTCCTGGGCACATACCCACAGGACTCTACAACTTACTACAGAGATGTTTGCTCATTCATGTTCATTGCTGCTCTATTCATAACAGCTAGAAACTGAAAACAGCCTGATGTTTGTCAGTGGATGAATGGATAAAGAAAATGTGGTACTATTTACACAATGGCATATTACCAAGCTATTTAAAAAATAAAATCATGAAATTAGCAGGCAAATGGATGGAGCTAGAAAAAACATGTGAATGAGGTAACCCAGCATCACCCCTCCAAACCCCAAATATTTAGCATGCATTTACTTATATGTGTATGTTAGCTGTTAAGTCTACAATCCCTGTAACTACAGAGGATAGGTATAGAATAAGGGATTCATAGGGAGGGAAGGATCTCCCAAGGAAGAACAAATAGAATAGATACTTATAGATGGATAGGGGTGGGAGATGAGACTAGGAAAAGAAGATTAAATGGAGTTGGGGAGGGAAGAGAAGGGTAAGGAAAGGAGTATCTGGAAGGATATCGAAAACTAAAGGCCCTTTGAGAGAAACCTATTACACTAGAAGTCTCTTAAAATATATACACATATGAAAGAAATATAAATAGAGTCACCAAAGGAAAAAAAAAACAACCCAAAAACAAAAACAGGGTAGACACAGTCCCAAATGGGCATTTCTTGCAATTAAGTGAAAACTCCATTGCCAGGATGGATTACATCTAACTGAGCTGTTGGCCAAAGAAGTCCCATGGGAACTCCCAGACAATCCAGACACTGCCAAGGCTGTTGGTTTCTATCCACAAACTGACAGTCACAATCTGTTGCCAAAGACAACACCCACAAGTCTCGCTGAGTACAGAAACGTTGAGTAAGTGTCTACCTCGTCACCCCTGCTGAGCAGTATTCATGGTATAGGAAGTTACTCTGCACACTATCAGTAAGTGTCTACCTCGTCACCCCTGCTGAGCAGTATTCATGGTATAGGAAGTTACTCTGCACACTATCAGAGGAGAAAGTGAAGCACCACAATAGCTACAAAGCCTTCTGTCTACAATGGTGACTCGCCTGAACGACAGGCCGGGCAACAGTGACACCACAGTTGTGGGAGTCACCAACCACTCTTGTCTCAATTGAAGGCCATTCAGTGGGACACGATCCACACCAGACACTCTTCTCAGGAACCTGAGACTAACATGTGCCACAGACCTGGGGGAAACCAAATGCTACTATTCTGCTAAGAGAACATAACCATTCATTCCATTATACTCACATATCAGTGTCTTGCTCAGCCACCATCAGAGAAACTTCCTCTTGTAGTAGACAACTGGACACGATGTGCAGAGTAACAACTTGGAACACTACGTCCTAAATGGGATGTCTCTATCAATTCCCTCCCTTTGGAGCTTAGGGAACATTGCAGATGAGAAGGTGGACAGACTGTAGGAGTCAATAGAGATGCAAGACACCAAGGAAACAAGGTCTTTCAGAAACAACAGAACTACAAACAGAAAAACACACAGAGACCGCGGATGCATTCACGGGGACAGCACAGGTCCAAGGCAGAAGTGGACACGAGTCCCCATCCCTGAACCGTAAGCTATCTCCAATTGACAACTGATCTCTCTCAAGAGAAAAGGACAAGCTAGTTTTCTCCAATGGAGTCTCAATGGGTACACAAACCGCACTCAAGGGCAGGCCCTATGCTCAGCAGCAGATAGTCAACATAAAATGAAGTCAATGGTAGTTTTGGAGGTTTTCTGTCTTATAATGCTTTATCTGGGTATTTCTTTAATCTTACCTGTTGCTTATATATTATGGTTTCCAATTTTGTGTTTTTGTGGGATTTTCATATGACCAAATGCGTGAGTCTCTGTGTCTGTATATATTTCTGTGCATTTTGTCTATTTTTCTGCTTGCTTGTTCTGTCCTAGTCTATCATTGTTTTTTCTTTTTTCTTTTTTTCTTTTGGTTTTACGAGACAGGGTTTCTCTGTATTGTTTTGGAGGCTGTCGGTCCAGCCTGGCCTCGAACTCACAGAGATCTGCCTGCCTCTGCCTCCCGAGTGCTGGGATTAAAGGCATGTGCCACCATTGCCTGGCTTCTATCATTGTTTTTTCTTGTTGGTGATATTTGATTGTTAATGAGGGGAGCTGTGGATTTGGGTGGGTAGGGAGGCTCTGGGAGGAGTTGTGGGTGGGAAAACATGATCAGAATATATATTATAAAAATCCATTTTCAGTTAAAAAGAGAGAAAAAACATTTCTTAGGGCTGAGTGTGATGGGACAAGTATAATCCAAGTTCAAAGGTAACCTGGGCTACATAGTGAGATCTGTGTCAAAATAATAACAAATACACGATTGTAATACTAATTCTTATCTCTGAAAAATTTTACATATGCACATAAGTATCTTCTCATAAATATTCTTACATGTTAAAATAATAGGTCACAGAACAATTAAAAAGTTTTCATGTGAATTATCTGACAGCCTTTTATGGCAGTAACATCAATTTGCATTCCAATGAACCCAGGAGTCCAATTTTTATTTCTGTGATTTTTCCCCATCATACTGTATAAACTACTGTAATTTCATCATATCTTGTATATTTAACCAGGTCACATCAAATTAAAGACTTTTGTGCATCAAAATGACAATATGAAGAGGACAAGGACAATCCAGAGAATGAAAGAATATGTTTGCAAATTGGATATCTGATAAAGGTTTTAAAATCTATAATATGTAAAGAAAGACATACCAATTTAAAAATGGGCAAAATAATCAAATCAACATTTCCTTAAAGAAGAGAAAAAACAAATGGACAATTAACATATGAAAAGAAGCTCAGTATCATTTGTGCAATATCATTCATTGGAGAAATGTTAATATAAACCACAATGGACTGTCACTTCACATCGCCTAAAATGGGTACAATGGGAGAAATGTAAGGGGGTAACACTTGTTGGCAGGAATATGAAGAAACTGAAGCCTAACACGTTCCTAGAGGGCATACAAATGGCACATCTGCTGAGGAAGGCCTTTGGCAGTGTCTGAAGAAGTTAAGATGCCTGCAACAGCCGGTAGTTAACAAAGACCCACAACTGGCCAGCAAGCAGAGTGAGTGAGAGACTGCAGAGAGCTCATCTCTAAATGGGACATCTAGTCTAAACCAAAGGCTCAGCGGTCCTTGTGGAAGAGGTGGCATGGGGAACGACAGTAAGAGCCAGTGGCCGTGGACGACTACAAGGAAACAGTGTCCTCTGGACTTCCTAGCAGGGCATATGCACATGTGAATTCACAGTGCTTGTGACAGCATGACAAGACCCATGCAAGCTCAAGGCAGAGAAAGTCCCAGCCTGGAGGGAGCCAGGTAAGCCCTGAGCCCTGGCTGATGAGCCACTGATATTCAATAGCTGCTGGGAGAAGGAGAATCAGTTTTCTTTGATGATGTGACCTCAGGTGGGCTGACCACATGCAACACAATCTGGGCAACCTGAACTAGACTAGATCGGGTAAGAAAAGACAGATTGGGAGAAAACAAAGTAAGGTGGGCAGAGAGATGGGGATGTATCAGGGAGGAGGTGGAGCCTAGGGATGAATATGAACGATACATTGAATGAAATTCTCAAGGAAATAATAACAATGTTATTAAAAGAAAATAAAGAAATTAATAGAACACCTTACTCAGCAATTGCATTTCTAGGTATTTCTGTAAGAGAACTGAAAACAGGTATTTAATAGATTCTTTACTACAACTCTGTACCACAACAGTATTCTCGGTATACAGAGGCTAGAATAACCATAGTGCTGAGGATGCACAACACATAGAGTATTTATGCAGAGGAATATTGTCCAGTCATGAAAAGGAATTAATTCTGACAAATATGCAACATATACAAGCCTCAAAAGTGTGCCACATGAAATAATCCAGACATAGGGAGAAACGAGATGAATCTACTAAAACAAGTATCTAGAATACACAAATTGATAGACACAGAGCAGATGGGCTTGGGTTAGGAGGAAAGGAGTTAGTGGGTACTGCTACAGAGTTGACATTTAGAATACACTGGAATAGGATGGTAGCATGGTTGCACATTTTGAATATAATTTAGTTGTATAAACTGAATTTACAATTAAGACAAACTTAACCAGGCATGCTAGTTACTAGTGAAGTATCAGTTTCTACAATGAGGAAGAAAATACTAACTAGAGGCATTAGGTCTACCTGACCAGTGTGTGCTGATAAAATCAGGCATGGAACTGAGGAACCAGTTGACAATGTGGTTTGTCCTGGCTTCTACTTTTGGCTCCACAGAGGCACCTCTCCAATAGGCACCACAAAACAGAACAAAACAACACAAGAAAACACCATGTAAACCAAGTATTTGTTCCAAAAACACATTAGAAAAAAGAATTAATGAAAAGGACCAGAAGAAACAAGGAAAAGGCCATAAATACAAATAAAACCCAAAGTTAACTCAGAAAACAAAGTGCAAAATAAAAGTAATAAAGGTGTGATCTTTGAAGATACCCTGGATAGTCAGAGGTAGTGGCACTCATCTTTCATCCCAGCACTCAGGAGAGAGGCAGAGGCAGAGGCAGAGGCAGAGGCAGAGGCAGAGGCAGAGGCAGAGGCAGAGGCAGAGGCAGAGGAGGCAGGTGGATTTCTGAGTTTGAGGCCAGCCTGGTCTATAGACTGAGTTCCAGGACAGATGAGGCCACACAGAGAAACCTGTTTTGAAAAACAAAAACGAACAAACCCTAGAGAAATCCTTTGGAATATTGATGCAGACGAAGCAGCAGGGCACAAGAAGGAACAAGCAGAAGCCTTCACCCCAGTTACACACAGGGACGGAGCTTTAATACACCAGTGTGCAGGTTTGCAGTCGAAAATCAAAAGGCAAAGAGATTCAATTTTTCTTGTTTTGGATGCTGGAGTCAAACCCAGGGCCTTAGCATGCTCTGTCCTTGAACAATGTTCCCTAGCCCCAAACAGGAAGATTAGTAATTGATCAGAATGAAAGTGGAAAACTTGAAAAAAATCGTTGGGGAAAAGGTTGGAGAAAGAAGGGTTTTCCGTGCCTGCTGGGAAACAGTTTTGTGGGGCCAAGTGTGGATTGTAAGAACAGTACCTGGCCACCACTATTCAACCAACCAGGGAACGATTACAAGCATGATCCTAAAAGCAGGTCTCAGCTCAAAACAAAGAGTATTACCAAAGACCAAAGAGAGCTCTATGGACTTAGAGAGAACTGGGGTTGAGGTCTGGAGTGGTCCAGATTGCCAACCTTAGTAACAAACAGGTTTAGGTCATCAATGTCAGTCAGGGTAAGCAAGAAGGCCAGGGCGCGTATCCCTGGAGAAGGCTGAGAACCGAGCTTAGACCCTCATGTCCACCCACACTGACTGGAAGTGAAAAGGCGAACTGGGAAAGAGGCCTTGCAAGAAGCAAATACCTCTATTTGCTAATGATATGATTCTACACCTGAGAGACCCAAGCAGCTCTCCCAGAACTCTCAGATCCGATAAACACTTCGTGAAAAGTGTCTGAAAGGGCTTTGTGCTACCCTTCAACTTCCAGGCCTTTCCCAGGAGTAACTGTTATCCTGGATTTCGTGTTTGTGCAAAGTTCTGTTTTTTTTTTTGAATAAACACTGGTGTAGTAGTTTTCTGTGACTTGCATTTTTAATTTTATATTTTGCTTATAAAGAAATAAACTCTTTGTGATTCCTGAAACAATAAGGAACAATGGACATGTCTTTAATTAATAATAATAAAAAAACCAAAACGTTGAAGCCACAGATATATTGCAATGCCAACCCCAGGGATAAACAAAGGTAGAAACAAAATGAAGCTAGTGATATGCTTTAACTTCCCTCCCACCCCACTGAAGGAACTCCCGCCCTCTCCCCGAGGTTGTTTAAATTCTTTAGGCAGAGAACTGAAGGCTAGAACCTGGGAAACAAGCCCCCTCCCCTCTATTCTCTGATATTCCCCTTGCAGGGTAGGCCCCTCAGCTCGACAGCCTGGGGAGGCCCAGAGTGGTGACTGGGGCAGACAGAAAGGCTCCTCGCACAGGAAATGGGGGAGAGGAGTATAGGGGTGTAAGACATGACCCCCCATAGTGGGGAAAATCAAAACGGAGCCCTGGTGCCAGGGGAAAGCATGCTGGCGGCCCTGGGAAGGGAGGCCCAATGGCCCCCACATCCTCCCTCCGGGAGGTGTCATTGCTTGGCCAACTGCCCATCTGGCTCCGGTTAGAAAACCACACTTGGACCAGGTCCTTCTGCAGCCGGAGGCGCCCAGCAATATAGCTGATTTGCTGGGGCGTGGGCTCTGGACACTGCAAGAACAGTTTCTCCAGATTGCTCCCAATGCGTCTCTCTCTGCTAGCACGTCTCCGCTTCCGGGCCTGCTGCAGGATCATCTCCATTCTGCATATGCCCAGAAGGTTCTTCTCATCTACTTCCTCAAGCCACATTTTCAGCAGGGGTCGCAGCTTCCACATGTTGGCGAGACTGAGCTGCTGGGCCTCAAAACGGCATATGGTCGTCTGGCTGAGAACCTTCCCAAACATAGCTCCTACAGCGAACCCCACATCGGCCTGTGAGTACCCCAGGGTCATCCTCTTCTGTCTCAGCTCCTTGGCCAGCTGCTCCATCTCTTTCTGTATGGCCGAAACGTCCTCTGGCAGTGCCAAATTTGGCATGTATCTCAGGGCTATGTAGGGTCCTGGGCAGGCGTCCTGAGAGGAACTCTGGGACCAGGCCCTTGCCTCACCAGTGACATAGGGTGCTATCCCGCCGCCTCGGAATTCATAAGGTGAGGGACCCAGAGGCACTTCCCACACCTCAGGGCCTGGACAGATGCCTGGTCCGATACTCGGCCTCACCATTAACCTGCCTGTAGCTATTTGACTGCTCAACCAGGTTGGAGGGTCAACTCGCATGGGCACCGGCCCTTCTAGGCCACCACTATTGCCTGGGAGGGGGTAGACGTTTGAAGACCTGCGCCCAGCCATGGGGTGGACAGCACCCCCAGCAAGAGTCTGGTAGGAACTGATGGCTCTCGAGGCTTCCAAACAGCTACCAGCCTCGTCCTCGAGCCCCGCCCCCAGTGGGCGGAGACAGCTATACAAGCAAGAGACACTGGTAACTTACTGTGTCCTTAGGGTTGAACATCGAGCCTCTTGTCCTGCCTGTTGCTTTTAACGCTTAACTTGGTACCAGTCAGGACCTTTTACCTCCAAACAGTCAGGTCCCTCAGTCACTCACTACCTGGATCCTACCCTTGAATGGGGTCCAAGCATTACCTTTGAGCTCTCAGAAACTCAGGTGTCCCTGTCACCTCACGCTCTCCAAACCACCATCTTGGCTTCACAAATACTAATTAGCCACCTACATTACAGGACTTGCTTACAGTATCTGGTCATTCATTAACTACTCCATGTTTACTATGTCAACCGTTGCTTCTGTGCATATCTTCCGTCCCTATGCTTGAAGAAATTTGGGCATACGCGCTTCAGTTTCTAACTAGGGTCAGTTTACTGCCTCAGATTCTCGACCTACATTCACAGTGTGCCGCCACACTCCACTCCTTCACTGTCTTCCCATTCCAAGCTTATTCGCTCGATAACAAACTCTCATCTTTTTTTTTCCCCTTCTGGAGACAGGATTGTGGGATTACCTGACCTGCAGCTGGCCACTGAGAATGTTCCTTGTATTCCGACTCATCAACACCAGGCTCTTCTGTCCCTGGTCTCTCTCCCACCACAGATACAAACATCATTTGTTTTTCTATAATCCCCCTATCGCAAGCCCAAACACAGGCCCCAAGTGGGGAAAGGGAAGGAAGGAAGGAATGAAGGAGAATAATCCGGTAGGTCCAAAGCTTCCAAAGAGGACAAAGTTGTCTTTGGTGGAAGACCTCAGCCTCATGCCCTTTCTTTCATTCTTTAAGCCAACTACAACACAGCTCTCTCTCTAGACATGTCTACTGAAACTGACCATTGTGTGGTCACGGATAGCCTTCCAAGAATCAAACCCAATAGCCCTGTCAAAATCCACATTCTACTAATGTTCGCTGAAGTGCCTGTCGAGAATATGTCTCCTTTCCGCTCCTCCTTTAAAACTGTGTATGGGAGTATCCGCCAGCTCTTCCTCACTTGCTTTCTGATTTCCACATCTGCATTTCTGCTGGCCCAAATTTAATTAGTTTTCTGCTTCTCCTCCAGAGGCCACAGGGCTGCCCAATGATGTGATCGTAACTCAGACACCTAAGTGTAAACTTGAGAGCTGTCAACTCTCTCGTATTGACAAGGCATCAGAAACTGGATAGCAGGCCTTTCGAAAGACTGGAACTTACTGTCTCTGCCATGCTCTCCTTATTTATTTAATTTAATAATTGGCTTGAAAGTCAGTTTCTTCTACTTCTCCCTTAGGTTAATCTTTCATACTGCTTTTATAGATAAATTTCTAAAAGCAAAACCAAATCAATCCCAATCTGAAATAATCAGAGAAAACCTAATGACATCACTTTACTCTTCAAGCATCTCCAAAGCTGGAGCCTCTCTTCTCTAGGCCCACAGTGAGGGCTGCTCACAGACTTTACACAACGTGGTCCATTCACCACATCCTCTTCTTCCCAGTCTTACTTCATGGTCAAGAAGAAACCGGCTGTTTTCCCCAAATATCATCTGCACCCTGTGTGCCCCTCCCACTGAGGTGATCTTCCTACTTCTTAGTGTCTTTAATGTTTAGGAGCCTGCTCAGATATTCTCACTAGAAAAGGATATCCCTGGTTACTCTCAGCAAACAGAGAGCACAGCCCCTGCTACTCTGCTTTTCCCTCTCTTCTATTTTATTTTGGCCTTCGCACAGTCTGCTAGCTAGTAAGTATTTGTCTATGCGTCCACTGTATGCTGTTTTTTTTACAGTGTGTACTATAGTACCTGGCACACAAAAGGTGATCAGTGAATAAAAGAAATGTGTTGCACCTCTGGTTAACTATAACACTCAGGTTTGATAGCCCCTCATGGAGGTCCTACCCCAGGAAGAAAAGAGGTTACTTTGGTAGTACTCCTGTCATAGTTAGTCAGAGTTTACTTCATTATTGGAATAGACATCAACAATTCTTTTATGTCTCCATCTCTTTGATTTAAGGACATTCATGGAGGAATCAGTCTAGAACATAAGAGCAACCTAACTAACATAATGCACAATAAACTTTTGCTGAGTGTCAACTTTTATGATGCTGATCATGAAGTAATGCCAATGTATCAATAAGAAGCTTGATCTCATGATGCTCTCATCTTTTCATCTTTTATATTACAACAAGGGACTTGCCATATAATCCTCTCAAGATGAGGGGAGCACTTTGAGACAATCAGACTCAAAGCTAAAAGAAATTGTAGATGTGGTGGCTTGAAAGAAAATGGCCCCCAAAGAGAGTAGCATTATTAGGAGATATGGCTTTGTTGGGATGGGTAAGGCCTTGTTGGAGGAAGTGTGTCATTATAGAGGTGGGCTTTGAAGTCTTCTATATGCTCAGGCTATGCCCAGTGTCTCAGACTACTTCCTGTTGCCTGTGAGTAAAAATGTAGGACTCCCAGTTCCTTCTCCAGCACCATCTGTCTGGACACCACTATGTTGCACCATGATGATAATGGTCTAAACATTTGAAAATGTAAGTCACCCAAATTACATGTTTTTGTTTTTTGTTTTTTTTTTTTACTTACAAGAGTTGTTGTGGTCATGGTGTCTCTTTACAGCAGTAGAAACCTTAACTAAGACAGTAGGTATGACCTTGAAGTTGTGAATCAGCAAATCGCCTGCCATATCCACAGACTGTGTATCTGATTTATTTGAAGTTTAACAGTTTCTGCTAGAATAAGTCTGGGCGAAGGGTCAGATGCTTGTCTCAGTCACTGCTGGCACCCACAGTACAAAGAGAAGAGATGGTTATTTATTCATTTGTTTTTGTGGTGCCAGAAGAAGAAGTGTCAACTAGCTGTTAAACAAGCGAGCCCGTGCAGCATCAGCACTGAAAAGACTTCCAGTTTGCCCGAAGTGAATAACAGTCTCTGAAGTCTCTGAACTCCACCTTACAATGTCAAGAATTATACTAAGGAATAGTTGCACTGATATCTATTCTTTCCACGTATACATGCATGCCCCTCCCCCCAACTCACAAAGCAACCAGTGTCTGCTAAGGTGTATCAAAAGAGAGATAAAGGAGAGGCAGCACAATTATACATTAAGGTTTGCATAGAAAAAAAACCCACCTTATTTGCACATGAGAACCAGAGAGAAAAGATTCATTAGGTGTTTAAAATCAATAGTTGAATAGAAACATTTTAGTGAATTGGGGAAAAAAAAGATGAGTTCAAATAGATTTGAACTAAGCTTAATTGTATTAAATGAGTTAAAACAAAGTAGCTAAAAACAATACATTTACAAGTGAGGCTATATTCACTTGATGAGTTTTAAAATTACTCAGTTGTATCTCATTTGTATATTTAATGCATGATGGAAATAGTATGATCAGAGGAAATAAGAAGTAGTGTATTTGGTTGGCAAAATAGAGACCAGAGGTAGCAAGTATGGGAATACCTAAGACAACCAGCGCTGCTTGGGCCAAAGAGCTTTGGAGCCTAACCTATCACTTTCACCAAATATGGGACATCTTCATAAGTGATTAGACTATGATGTAAGAATCGGGCCGTGTTTATCCATGGGAATTTCAGGGAAGGTGTAAGAAGCATGAGGCCTCAAGCTCTTAGGTATTTATTATCTGAATGAGGGAGAAGAGAAACTAGACAGTCAAAAGGCCAGGTCAGGGGAACTTACTCAAGAGAAGTTACATCCTTTCTTTGTAATTAAGGGTAGTGCTCTGAAAAAGGTGTTTTAGGTGGAAATGCAAATACACACAATATGAGCACTAGTATTCTTGAGTTTTCTTTAAATATCTTATTCCGAGAAAGCAAACATAATTGCTGGTTGAGAACCAGTAGAGGGTAGAAGAGAATTTGGTAATAAATAAGCTTGTAGGATGTAGCCCATCTTCCTCCCACCTGAACTTTCAGATACATTATTGCCCTAAACAATTAGCTGGTTTTCTATGTGGTTGCTTTCCAGCTGGGAGACATGGAACCTTTCTGAGATTGTGATACAGCTTAATTTGTATGCATATGCCAAGCAATGTGTTAATGTCTTCATAAGCTATCCATACTGTTCTGAGGACAGTAAGTTCAACAAAAAACCAACTGCTTTTGAGGGTAGCTGTCATTAATTTAACGCCATACTGTTGTTAACAAAGCCAGAGTGTATGTATGACTACTGAAATCAACGGACCAGTTACTTTGTGCAAGCGGTGTATGCCAGCAAACACAGAGTACATGAGAAGCTTAGAATTTTTTTAGCAATATCACCAATAAACCAATATTATTTGAATCTAGCTAAATTATCAGAGCAAGTCAAGAATTATGCCAAAGCTGGACAGAGAAAAGCACGGTAGAATGAGTTGTGCTGGTCTTTTATTTTTCCCACTGGGCAGATATCAAGTGACTTAGCATTTGTGAGACACCAGGACATTTGTACACTTTCCTTTAGAAAGGCAGATACAGGCCCACAATACCCAGAATGGCCAAGCAGCAAGCAAGTACTGGAGAAAAGATTCAGAGAACTAGTCACAGAACAGTCTTCCAGATCTAAAAAGTGAAATTAGGATTGTGTAAAAGCACAGATTAAGATACATGGGACTTGGTTGAATATAGGTTAATTTTATTCAGGGAGAAGTCACTTACATAAGAAATCGATGACCCATAAATTCCAGCTCCAAGGATCCACACCCAGGCTGCTCTCCGTGACCTGACCAGAACCAAGATTGAGAGCACTGGGGACTGGGACCTCAGACCTAGCCTTCCTGGTCACATCCACAACTGTAACCACGCCTAAATGGGCGTGGTCAGTGCAACAGGTGCAGGTGGGGTGGATCACTACAATTCCCCTTTTAGTCTAAAGATTTAGACTTGATACAAAACTATATACAAAGACAGCAAGCATCAAGCATGCACTAGGGGAAGGAAATGTGAGAACAAACACACTTAAGACCTATTGCCGGCGAAGCAACTAGGGCAAATGGCAAGAACCACATATCCAGTCCTCGGGTAAAGGCAACACAGAGATTGTTACAGAGTTGTCCTAAGTTGGAAAGCTTAAGTCTTGTATCTAATATTTCTATCTATGAAGAGAGAACAATAATTGTGACAATCTAATCTTCAACCTCATCAAAGACCTGAGAAGGAGGATAACAATACTAGGGTAGGCAGGAAGTGCAGGCGAGCAGCTTCCAAAAGGTACAGTGAAGACAGAAACAGCAGGCCACCTGGACAGTCACCCAAAGTCTCACAGCAGTGTAGGGACAACCAACTTTGGGTAAGGCCTAGAGTATCTGTCTGGCCAACCCAGAAGCAGGGAGGTTGAAAGGCTGTCATACCCTGACTTGCTTGCATCAGTGTAGAATGTAGGGACTCCAGAGACTGGTGTTTTTCTTACAATGTGTGGAAGGATTCAAATCATTTTCTTTATGAATTTGATTCTCTCACTTTTGGGATAATTGCTGCTAATCATTCCCAAAAGGTTACTGCAAGCTCTTTGCCAATATTCATTATCTTTCCATAAGGAGGAAACTTCCTCATTAGTTAAAGGTACTATAATTTCTGCTGGGTCCCTTCCTGTCAGTTGACAAAGCATTTTTGTTTTCTTTTAAACACTTTTTCTTATTATATATTTAAATTAGAAACAAGCTTGTTTCCCATGTCAGTCCCAGTTCTCTCTCCCCTCCATGCCCACTCCCCCCCACCCCACCAACCCCCCACCCAATCCCCACTCCATTCCCCAGGAAGGTAAGGCCCTCCATGGGGGATCTCTGGAGTCTGTCATTTCATTCTGGGGAGGGCCCAGGCCCTCCCCAAAGTGTCCAGATTGAAAGAGCATCCCTCATTGTGGGATGGGTGCCCAAAGTCCATTTGTGTGCCAGGAATAAATACTGATCTACTACCCAAAGCCCCATAGATTGCCTAGGTCTCCTCACTGACACCCACATTCAGGGGGTCTGGAGCAGTCCCATGCTGGCCTCTCAGCCATCAGTCTGGGATCCAAGATCTCCCCCTTGTTCAGGTCAGCTGTTTCTCTGTGTTTCACCAGTTCAGTCTTGACCCCTTTGCTCATCACTCCTCCCTGTCACTGGGTTCCAGGAGTTCAGTTCAGTGTTTAGCTGTGGGTGTCTGCCTCTGCTTCCGTCTGTCACTGGATGGAGGTTCTAGGATGGTGTGTAAGACAGTAGCTGATGAAGTCTTACCTTTTAAAATCAAATCAGAAGTCTTTTCTATATATGTTTCTAGTTTTTTATTCTGTTTATGTGGTAGAAACATCTTCTCTCTGTATGAAAATCCCTGAAGGGTATTCTCTGTGGCCTATGGACATACCAATTAACAGAAGAACTTTGGTTGACTGTCCAGGTAGTGAATGTCTCTGTCTTTTCTAGAGTTTATATACTATTCTTCTGTGGTCTTTGATGGAGTTGAAGACAGATAGTTATGGTTATAGTTTTCCCTTTGTTAGAATTAAATATAAGACTTTAGACTCACAAACATAAGATAGATGATAAATTATTTTCTGTAAATCTTGCTAAATGTTAATGGACTAAATATTGTAACTATAGTTCTTACTTGATAACTGTTTTGTTTTGTATAATTTGACTATGTTAAAGTTAAAACCATTCTTTTTATTTAGACAGAAAAGAGGAGATGATAGGAGATGTCATTCTGTAAATATGTCTTTCTTATTGGTTGGTGAATAAAACACTGTTGGCCAATAGGGAAGCAAGATAGGTGGGACTAGGAGACAAGCAGGATTCTGGGAAATGTAGTAAAGAGAAGTCGCCATGTGATCCCGGGAGGAGAGGATGCATGAGTCTGGCATTCTCAGTAAGATAAAACCTCGTAGAAATACATATATTAGTAGCTATGGGTTAATACTTAAGACAGAACTAGCCTATAAGAAATCCTAGTCACCAACCAACAGATTATAATTAAAATAGTGTCCTGTGTGTTATTTGTGGGCCAAAGTGGCAAAGGAACACAGGCGGGAATTCCATAACAGGATTGTAGAAAACTAAGTATT